GTGCCCCGCGGGGCTGACAGTGGCTGTGCCCGCAGGCTGCACGCTGGGCGGGCAGGAGGTGCAGCTCTCCATCCACTACGAGGGCGGATTCACCATTTCCCGGGATGAGCCGGGCTCCAGCGTCCTCTTCCGCTACCCCTACGAGCGGCTGAAGATGTCTGCAGATGACGGCATCAGGACCCTCTACCTGGATTTCGGGGGTCCTGAAGGGGAGCTGGTGAGGAAGGGGCAGCCAGGCTCACCCCCTGGTTTGGGGGTCTTCCTCCATGGGTGGTCCCTGCTGTCCCCCATCCCTGCAGCATCCCAGCTGCCCAGAACGATTGGGTTTGGCAGATTGGGACCCCTGTGATCCCCGGTGCCCCCAGTGGGGTGTGGGGGTGGCTGACACCCCTCTCCATCTCCCCCCAGGCGCTGGACCTGCACTCCTGCCCCAAGCCCATCGTCTTTGTGCTGCACACCTTCCTCTCGGCCAAAGTCACCCGCATGGGGCTGCTGGCGTAGGTGCCCCGACCCCCCTGCCCCGTCATGAACCAGCCGAGGGTCACAGAGGGACCCCAAACTCTCCCTCCTGATGGGTGCCTTGCTGGGCTGGGGTCGCTGCCCTGAGAGCTGCGGGGACTGCGGGGGCAGGGTCAGCTCCTCCCGCCCCACACCAGCGCTCCCAGCCCCACAGTGCCCCAGGGGCCGGGTACCCACACCAGCTTTAATCCCCCGGGGCTGAAGCCATCACTGATCTCACCGCCTGTGCCTTGCAATGGGGCCAGCTCGGCCCCCCAGATCACGTCCAGGGGAATCAGCGTCCCCCTGCCTTGGGGCTTCCCCCAAAGAGGTCACATTGTCCCCACGTGGGACAGGGCTGGGGCTGTGGGACCCCCCATTGCTGCATGACAGGGTCCCTGTGCCCCGCTCAGCGTGGGGGGACACGTTTGTCTTACAGGGGGCACTCAGGGGTGTCCCCCATCCCCCAGTGCCCCCCAGCAGTGACCCCCAAATCTCCCAAAGCCAGAACAAACGCCGTGTCTGTGCCCTGGGCCGGGGGCCGGGGCTGCAGAGCCCCCCTGGGCTGTCCCTCCACCGGGACRGTCCCTCGGGCAGGACATGTAGATTGATGCACTTTTGCTTTTTGTACTTTCCCTCCCCTTGGGGGCAGACCCCACACCCTGGGGGGCTGGGGGGGTCCATGTGGGGCCAGAGTGGGACCCCGAGGGCTCCCAGCAAGGCCCCAGTGCACCCCTGCACAGCCAAACCRCTGCACAGTTCTCTGCTCCTGGGGGGCTGTGTCGTCCAGGGGTGCTGTGGARTCCTGTGGGGTGCTGGCCCGGGGTGCTGCCCCCCTCCTTCTATTTTTGTATTCTTTGTAAATCGCTATTTATATCAGATTGCCTTTTCCAGGGGCTCCGAGTCTCCTTTGGTGTGGGGATGGCGGGAGCAAAGAGGGTCTCGGGAAGGAGTGGGGATGCTGGGGGGAGCAGGGGAGTCTCTGGGGATGCTGGGGGAGTCTCTGGGGGAACTGTGGGGGTCTCTAGGGGACACTGGGGGGGGTCTCTGGGGATGCTGGGGGGACTGGGGGATTTCTGGAAGGAATGGGGGGAGCCCCTAGGGATATTGGGGGAACTGGGGGGTCCCTGGCGTTGCTGGGGGGTCTCTGGGCATGGTGGAGCAGGGTCTCTCTGGAGACTTGTGAGTAGTCTGGGGTAACTTTTCCAGCAGGGGCAGTTGAGCTCCGGGACAGGCGGGCACAGCGGCGGGCACAGCTTCCCGCGGGTGTTTGGGGGTGTGGGTGTGTGTGTGTGCACAGGTACATACTGTACACATGTGTGCGTGTACATGTAAACACCGCACAGGTGTTTGGGGGTGTGGGGGTGTGGGTGTGTGCATAGGTAAATACCGTACATATGTGTGTGTGTACATGTAAACACCGCACAGGGCGGTGTGCTTGGGCGTGCACACACACACGGACACACACACACATGCACGCGTAAACGTGCACGCGCAAACATGCAAACACGCACACACATGCATACACATGCACATACACACTTTCACACGCACACATGCACGTACACACATGCACACACACACATGCAAACATGCGCACACATGCAAACATGCACACACATGCAAACACACACACACATGCACGCACACACATGCAAACACGCACACACATGCACGCACACACATGCACGCACACACATGCAAACACACGCACACATGCACGCGCAAACATGCAAACATGCACACACATGCACGGACACACATGCACACACACACATATGCACGCACACACATGCACGCGCAAACATGCAAGCACGCGCACACACGCACGCACACACACGCACGCACACACATGCACGCGCACACACACGCACGCACACACACGCACGCACACACATGCACGCGCACACACACGCACGCACACACACGCACGCACACACATGCACGCGCACACACATGCACGCGCACACACGCACGCACACACATGCACGCGCACACATGCACGCGCACGTGCTCTCGGGGGCGCGCGGCCTCAACGGGCGGGGCTACGATAAAAGCCACGCCCATAACAGTGACGTAATAAGCGGGCGTGGCTATTTAAGATCACACCCCCATATTATCATTAAGCCACACCCCTTTGTGGGCGGGGTTTCGGTCCCGCCCTCCCGCGCGTTGCCGGCAGGGGGCGCGGGGCCGCGCGCAGCCGCAGTCGCTGCCGCCGCCGCCGCCGCCGCCGTCCCGGGGCCACCGGAGCGGCCGCACCGGGCGATGCGATGACAACGYCCACCCTGCAGGTACCGACCGCGGGCACCGCGCCGGGGATGGGGCTGGAGCTGGGGCTGGGGCTCCGGCCGCGCCGACACCGCGCCCCTGTCCCGCAGAGGCTCCGCACGGCCCGGTGGACAGGCCKCACCGGGTCCCGGTGCCGCGCCGGCCGCAGACAGGCCTCACCCGGCCCCGGTGCAGGCCCCGCTGAGGCCCCGAGCCCTGCTCAGCCCCGGTGCCGGCGGGGCGGGGCGGGGCGGGAGGTGGGCGCTGCGGAAGAGCCCCGGTGCCAGCGGGCCCGGCCCGGCCCMTGAAGGCGGGAGCGGCTCCGCCGGTGCCCGGTGCTCACGGCGCTCCCCGCCCCGCAGAAAGCCATCGACCTGGTCACCAAAGCCACCGAGGAGGACAAGGCCAAGAACTACGAGGAGGCACTGCGGCTGTACCAGCACGCCGTGGAGTACTTCCTGCACGCCATCAAATGTGAGAGCGGCCGGGGCTCGGGGGGCTGCGGGGCTCCGGGGACACCGGGTGACACTGCGGCTCCCTGCAGATGAGGCTCACARCGACAAGGCCAAGGTGAGCATCCGAGCCAAGTGCATGCAGTACCTGGACCGGGCCGAGAAGCTGAAGGAATACCTGCGAAGCAAAGACAAGCAYGGCAAGAAGCCCGTCAAAGAGGCACAGAATGACAACAAGGGGTGCGTGCGGGACGAGGGGTGATCTGTCCGGCCGCAAAGCTGGCTGGACCCTGCTGCCACCTCAGGGCCAGTCCTGCTCCTGACTYCTGTCCCCTGTCCCCAGGAGTGACAGTGACAGCGAGGGCGAGAATCCCGAGAAGAAGAAGTTGCAGGAGCAGCTGATGGGTGAGAGGCTGTGGTGGGTTCAACCCTCTGGGGTTGCGGGTTTCACTGACAGCGCTGGTGAGGGACAGCTACGGGGAGGGGAACAGGCTGGGGCCCAGGGGTGTGTTCCCGTGGCCTGGTCACCCCAAACGGCCATCATGCCGAGGGGAGGTGGGATTGRGGTGTGGGTAGGGCCTCTGGCTCTCAGTGCTCTCGGTGCCCATCTCTGTGGGGCTGTGTGAGCAGAGCCGGCACCCTCGCAGGTGCCATCATGATGGAGAAGCCCAACGTACGGTGGAGTGACGTGGCTGGGCTGGAGGGAGCCAAGGAAGCCCTGAAGGAGGCCGTGATCCTGCCCATCAAGTTCCCACACCTGTTCACAGGTGAGGGCGTGGCAGAGGGAAGGGGCTGTGCGGGAGGTGACCCCTCCCTGGATGGTCCCAGCGTGGATCTGGGTGCAGGGATGGGGATCCTGACCCCGGTCTGTGCCGCAGGGAAGCGCACGCCCTGGCGTGGGATCCTCCTCTTTGGGCCGCCCGGCACTGGCAAGTCCTACCTGGCCAAGGCCGTGGCCACCGAGGCCAACAACTCCACCTTCTTCTCCGTGTCATCCTCCGACCTGATGTCCAAGTGGCTGGGGGAGAGTGAGAAGTAAGTTGGCAGCAGGGACATGTGGCACAGCCTGGCTCCTGGTGTCTGGCCAGGTTGGGGCAGGAGCCACCAGTGTCAGTGAGTCACAGTACCCAGAAGGAAGAGTTAAGGAAGAGTTAAGGAAGAGTTAAGGAAGAGTTGGGAGCTGCTGCCTTCAGAAAAACTCTGAGCAAAGCAATCCCTGGGCCTCTGTCCCCTCACAGCCTGTGACTCCCCTCTTCATGGACCTCTCTGTCCAATAGTGCCTTTAAGCTGGGGTCTTCTAGTGCTTAACTGGACTCTGTCTTCTTGTCTCAATTAACTGCTCTCATGTTCCAGCTTGGGATACTTTTGGAGYCCTCCAGAGCTGCAGCTCTTTCCTGAAGGTTTCCCATCTGCCCATTCTCAGAGTTCATTTTCAGCTCACTTACAGCCAGCTTTTAGCAGTGCCCACCCCTGCCAAGCTGTGAGCCAGCCATAATTAAACTGAACTCTGCACTATTAATTTCTGATACCCTATAATTAGACTTATTTTAATCCTCAAGAGGCTCCCAGGGGAGAGCACAGCCCCTAGAGGGGCACCACAGTCCCTGGTGTGGCAATTCCCTTGCTGCCAGCATGGGGTTCCCAGGGTGGGAGGCACATGGGGCTGCCACGGTGGTGCTGAGGAGGGTCTCTGAGCGGGGACCCCATCCCCTGCTTCGTTCCCAGGCTGGTGAAGAACCTGTTTGAGCTGGCAAGGCAGCACAAGCCCTCCATCATCTTCATTGACGAGGTGGACTCGCTGTGYGGCTCCCGCAACGAGAACGAGAGCGAGGCGGCCCGGCGCATCAAAACCGAGTTCCTGGTGCAGATGCAAGGTGGGTGGGGGCAGGATGGGAGGGCAGAGCCTGAGGATTCACAGAATCTCTGGGGATTGCTCTGAACCATCTGCCTGCAGGCGTAGGAAACAGCAGCGATGGCATCCTGGTGCTGGGTGCCACGAACATCCCCTGGGTGCTGGACTCRGCCATCAGGAGAAGGTGAGCCCCACTCGCAGCCCCCTGTGCCAGCTGGCACGGCTGGAATCGGGGCTCACCCCTCGTGCCCCCAGGTTTGAGAAGCGGATCTACATCCCGTTGCCCGAGGAGGCAGCACGGGCCCAGATGTTCCGGCTGCACCTGGGGAACACCCCGCACTCCCTGACGGACGCCAACATCCAGGAGCTCGCCCGCAAGACCGACGGCTACTCGGGGGCAGACATCAGCATCATCGTGCGCGACGCCCTGATGCAGCCCGTGCGCAAGGTGCAGTCGGCCACGCACTTCAAGAAGGTGAGAGGGGGCCCTGGGGAGGGGTGGATGCCATGGCTGCTGTCCCCCTCCCCGAGCTCTGTGCCATGTCCCACTGGCTCTGTGCAGGTCCGTGGACCCTCCCGCACCACCCCCGGTGCCCTCGTAGATGATCTCCTGACGCCGTGCTCRCCCGGTGACCCTGGGGCCACCGAGATGACCTGGATGGAGGTGCCCAGTGACAAGCTGATGGAGCCCATTGTCTGCATGGTGAGTGCCCCCTCTGCAGCTCTGGCTGAGCCCCTTCCCTGTTCATCCTCTGGGCCAAGAGCCAGCCCAGGCTGTGGCTCCTGGAAGTGGAGGAGACAATCCCCCAGTCTACCRCCCTGGGGTCCTGAGCCCCCCAGAGGAGGGCTGGGTGCCAGGAAAGGGCCTTGRCTCTGCCAGGCAGCTCCCACCTGCAGAGTCAGTGCTGTTGCCATGGGGCAAAGGTGTGAGCATGGGCAGAGCTGCCCTGGGAGTCCCTACCCTGTGTCCCTGCCCGTCTGAGCCGTGTGCCACCCTGCCTTTGTTGCAGTCGGACATGCTGCGCTCGCTGGCCACCACCCGCCCCACTGTCAACGCCGAGGATCTCCTCAAAGTGAAGAAATTCACCGAGGACTTTGGCCAGGAAGGTTGAGGGGGGCATGGGGGGTGTGGGGTTGGGGCAGCTGCAGGCCCCGCTGTGCCCCCATCCCCGGCCGTGCCAAACCGACTCACGTTGGCTCACTCCTGCCCCATTGCACTGCAGCGCCCGGCAGGCGCAGGGACACGGCCCAGGGGGGAGGGTCTCACACTACGGGGGGTGGGTCTGAGCATGGCCTGGGTGGCCGGGTTCCCCCCCGGCTGCACCCCACTCTTCTTCTTCCTGCTCTTTTTTTATTTTTTAAATTAATGCTGCTTTGGGTTCTGTCTCGTTTCTATGGAAATAAAAACAATCTGAGAGCTTCAGCCAGTGCCCGGCCCCTCCCCAAGGCTCTGCCCACATCAGGGGCTCAGCCCAGCCCTGCAGCCCCTAAAATGCACTGCCCCCAGGCCAAGGCCTCTGCCTGTCCCAGGGGGCAGGGGCTCCTTGTACTCCAGCCGTCCCAGACAGGGATTTGTGCCTACAGCAGGGGCTACTTGGATGGAGCAGCCACCAGCTGATGACACCCACCAACCAGCACCCCATGTACCCTGTGCAGKCCCTGGGTTTCCCCAGCTTCAGTGCCCCCCAGCCCCATCCTGGTGCTCCAGGATCAGATCCTGGGCACTGCACCATTGCCCACACTGTGACTGGGAACCCCAAACAAGCCCGAGAGGGGAGGATCCCCCTTTGCCCTCCCCTGCCCTTGGCAGCAGGTTATTCCCAGACCCACAGAGCAATTCCCAGTGCCCAGGGAACGTGCCCCGGTGGGCAGGAAGGGCCGGAGCCATGCTGAGGCCACAGGTCTGTATTGGCTGCAATAAAACTGAGTGGTAGCCCTGGAAACACGCTGGTTCTTTCAGCAGGGTCAGTCCAGCAGTTCCATCCAGCCCACGTTGGTGAAGGTGCGCGGGTCCATGCGGTCGATGTAGAGGATGCCATCCAGGTGGTCCATCTCGTGCTGGATGATCCGGGCAGCCCAGCCCATTGCCTCCCAGTTCACTGGCACCCCGTGCTCGTCCACACCTGCGGCCAGGGCAGCGCTGGGTTGGGGGGTGATTTACGGGAAAAAAAGGGGGGCCCGTGTGTGTGTGTGGTGGGCTTCGTGAGAGAATGAAGGGATCCATGAGAGAATAGGGAACCCATCACAGAATTGAGGGACCCGGGAGAGAATAGGGGAGCCGTGTAAAAGAAGGGGAGCGTGTGAAGGAGGGGCAGGTGCAGGGTCCCAGGCGGGACAGGGCGGGTCGGTCCGTACCGGAGACATGGACGGCCCAGGGCCGCGGGACGTAGGCGGAGAAGCCGTGGATGCTGGCGCAGCCCTCGGGAGCGGTGACRAGGCGGGTGTCCAGGACGCGGAGCACGGGGTTGACGAGGACGCGGAGCGGGAAGGGCTCGATRCGGTGCGCTTGGCGGAGCGCCGCCGGGTACCGGGAGCAGCGGGCGGGCGACAGCTCCGCGGCGAACACCCGCAGCGGCACCCCGAGCTGCGGGGCGCTCAGCCCCAGGCACGGCCGGGCCCGCAGCCCCGCCGCCAGCGCCGCCGCCAGCCGCCGCAGCTCGGGGCCGCCCAGCTGCTCCGGGGACACGGC